ACTCGATTGCAGAAACGTTGTAGTATACATTTATACATTTATACAAATATCTATGAGATGCATAATGCAAAATAACAATTTTCAGCGCTTAAAATCAAATGATTTATAATCTGTACGATCTAATAGAAAAGAAAAATTTTTTTGACAGTCATTGAATGAAAGAAACAATGAATAAAGCGATTTTTCTGTTTTGCATATCATTGAATATACTGAATAAATTAGATATATGTATAAATGTATACTACAACCTTTCTGCAATCGAGGTTATATATATATATAATCCCTACATGGGGCATTCTATTGTTCTGTTCATTCATTTGTATTGCCGCTTGTTTCCGAAGCTGGAGTTCCACATAAGAAAAAAACTAATTTATTTAATGAAGTAGTCATTTTTTTTCTTTGCTTTTAGTACAAGCAATAACTCAAATAAAGGGCTTGAAAAGTGTAACAGCCATTCCTTTTCTTTTCTACGATGTTCCGGAATATTCAACTTTTTTCTTGACAAATTTGTTTTCCAGTGAATCAACTTGTCAGTCTTGCTTCAAATTTCCAAAATCTCCTCTAATATTCAGGAACTCAGCTAAAAGTATGATATGCAAGAGAAGCGGCCATCTTGAAACCAAAACTTATAATTCCAAATATGGTATCAAAACTCCTAATCTGCATATATTTGAATTTGGACATGATTACGGTGATACACTTTTCAACCCCCTTATAAGTTTCTGGTTCATTGTCAAAACAGCAATCAAGAAACAAGTCCTAGGTTTGCGCTTGTAAGATTATAAATTTCTCAGACAAAAAATTCAACATTGACTGATATCCGACCTCATGAAATCACTTTGGATGCGTCACATGCAAATATTTAAGATTAATTGCATTTTTTTCTATTAGGGTAATAAAAAAGCCATCGACCAAGAGAATTAGTTCGCCGAGTGCCGCAAGAAGCGATGGAGACCGCTTTGGAAGAATTGGTTCGGAAACAGTTTGTCGCCGAAGAAGCCGTTCGAATCGTACACCGATTCAACGACAAAAAGTCCAAGAAACCTAGAAATGAACGCCTGGTTGATTTATGCACCGACATTGCACGAATCCTTGATGTCAATAAGAAGTAAGTCTGCGTCTTTGCAGTTTTCCCCTACATTTGTGATTTAAATCCCTCTGTAATACAAATTTAAAGTTTCGAACCCGTTTGCATGAAGCTAGCGTGACCCCGATGCTAATGACAAACCTTTGCCATGGAATTAAAACAAACTCGTGGAAAGTCGTGAGAAAGTTTCACGAAACGTACTTAGGAGTGGCTTCTATTTGTATAAATCGGCAAAAACTTTCTTACTCGCGATGTCTTGCAAGAAATTGTTCGTGTGGGACCCCACCAAAGCATAGGAGTTCGTTCAGTGTTGTTGTTGTTTTTTTTTGCCACGAAGATTCCGTGAGCAAGAAAACCGCGGAATATATTAAGAAAATATACGAACTATATTTTTGTTAACGAATAACATAACAAGTTAGCATGGTAACAATATATTTCCTGGAATATAATAAGAGGCCTAACTTTGAACTGCGCACTGAATATGAATATGAAATCATTCAGAAGTTTTTTTAAAATACTTATTTGGATCAATTAATAAGGAAATTTTTTCTGGTTTGAAATAGAAAAATAAAGTTAAAAAAATAATAAATAAAGTGAAAGCAATTAGCAATAGCACTATTGCTATGACAACAAAGTTACTACTATTAGTAGCTTAGCAACGGAAAAGCTTACAAAACACATTTGTGTGATTTTCAAAAAAAAAGCTTTCTCTTTTTTTTTTAATACTAAAAATCGACTTTGGACCTTTGTATTTAACATGATTTATTTCAAAGATGATATCTTTGACTGGTTTATTAGATAACGAGCTATTGCACTGAATTGAATGACTAACAAGTCACGTGAGCCTACCTCCCTTAACAGGTCACGTGAGTCTACCTCCCTTAACAGGTCACGTGAGTCTACCTCCCTTAACAGGTCACGTGAGTCTACCTCCCTTAACAGGTCACGTGAGTCTACCTCCCTTANGTCTACCTCCCTTAACAGGTCACGTGAGTCTACCTCCCTTAACAGGTCACGTGAGTCTACCTCCCTTAACAGGTCACGTGAGTCTACCTCCCTTAGCAGGTCACGTGAGTCTACCTCCCTTAAAACAAGCAGTTGGGCAAAAACGAACATTAGAAACAAGAAAACCAGCTTGACAATAGTAAGGGAGCGAAGTTTCAGCTCATAATGTTGACTATAGGGTAAATAATGGCATTGAGTATGAAATCGAACATTTTCAAAGATTTGTATGGGAAAAGTGTTGGCTGGTAAGCTCTTGCCATCCAGAACATTTTCCCATCCAAAGCCTTATAAAACATTGAATCGTATTTTTGATGTCATTTGTCCATTTTCGATTGTTATGAGCTAAAACTCCTCCTCCCTAATGTCGATGTGCTCTTTTCATTTTTCACTGTTGTTCATTTTAACACAGATGCTCGTTTTAACGGAGGTAGGGTCACGTGACCCTTAAGTTTCAAGTAATGACTGAGTTTTGATATTTTGTGAATATCAGGCATGTTTGAAAGTCAAATTTTCATATTTTTACAATAGCATGAAGATGTTTCAACTAATTTGCATAGTACTAGCTCTTGATCATTTGGCATCGTTTCCATGTTTATCATCTCCTCGCGTGTTTTAAACATTATGAATAAGGGAGCATTATTTTTTTAGGAGGGATCTGGGCAGGAGGAATCCAGTGGAAAGCCATTAAATTTCTATTCTGTCAAAAAGGGGGGTCATCAAATGTTTTATATTACATAAAGGAGGGAGACAAGAATACAACAAATTTCAAGGGGAGGGTCACTTTTTTTATTCAAACAGAAGAAAGCTAGGGGGGTGTAAAGATTTTACATTACTGTTTATAGGGACTACTCCGGCCCATCGCCCCTCCTAAAAACTGAATGCTCCCTTATACTACTCTTCCCAGTAGACCGAGGTAGTTGTGATTTTTTAATCGCCTTCGTAGCGTCTGTTATGTTATCCGCAAGTACATTTCAAATCGACCACGTGATGCAAATATTGTACCACGAGGACAAGTTTTTTACACCACGTGATTAAAACTTGACTGAATTTTGATCACGTGGTGTAAAAAACTTGTCCTCGTGGTACAACATTGGCATCACGTGGTCGATTTGAAATGTACTTGCGGATAACATAACAGACGCTACGAARGCGATTAAAAAATCACAACTACCTCGGTCTACTGGGAAGAGTAGTAAGGTTGTTCAAAACTTATTTCCTAACGTGTATTCAACACTTTATAGCACAGCAATGTTGCTAGTACCTTTTCTTAAAGTCTAATTTCTCACGAGGAGCTCTCCAATTTATTCACAATTAATGGCCGATCCGCATACTTACTGTCTCATTGTTACTACCATTATGGTGGAAGTGCGACCCGCGAAGTTTGACGTTTCTTTTGCCGGCTACCATTTCAACGACCGAAATACAATACAAAAACAATAACTTAAGGGATATTCAGTTAGCTGAATTAAAAAATTTAATCATCTAATCCTCTGAAATATTTCATTAAATCCAAAATCTCCCTCAAGATATTGGGGTTTTTTCATTGCAGTTTATTGATTAACGCTCGTTTATTAAATGCTAGTGGGCGAACAAGACGTCAAACTTCACGGGTAGCACTTCTAATTGTAGAAAATCAATAATTCGCTCTAATTTGACTCCCAGCAAACGTCACATCTTTTTTTTTTTTTTTTTTTTTTTTTNTGTGAAATGAAGGCCCTGAACGTTAAAACCAAATGTATCATCAGTTCAAAATAGTTTTCTGATTCCTAATTCTTCAATAAAATATTTTTATTCCTTTTGTGTAAGCCTTAACTACTTTTCGATAAGCCTGAAAACATAAGCTGTAAATACTAGGTTTTGAGATTCGATTTTAATTCGATTTTTTTTTTTTTTTTTTTTTTTCCCTTTTTTTTTTTCCACACGGCATATTCATATTACAACACTAGGCCAGGTGATCTCGCCTAGAAGCGCGCAAATAATTATTTGTCAAATTGAACAGTTCCTAATACCAAGTCTCCTATTTCATTATATCTCACGGTAATAAAAGTGGTGGCCGGTGACTAATAAAAACAACACAGATTTTACTTACTTTCATTACTTTATTTTTATTAATTTTAACTTCTGAGAGGAAGCTTTTGTGGTACACGTACAGGACGTATTTTGAAAAGTTTAAATCGAAATACGACTTCATTTTGAAATTCATCATGAAACTTTTGGCGATGCAACAAAAATGCTTGTATTTGGTTACAGCGCTCCTCAATTACACGCGCGAAATCGTGAAAAAAACTTTCTAGACATAATAGTTATTTGGTGGACGCCAATCAAAATGTTGCCCAGCATTGTCGGATTAAAAACACAAAGTTTTCAAGGGCACTTGCMTATGGAATGTCATGGAAACGCATTGATTGACGTCCACCAAAGCCTACTTCGTCACGATTGCAAATTGTACGATTTCACGGCGTGTGATTGAGGAGCACTGTAATAGTAACCGGAAGTGCGAGCGCGAGATCACCTAATAAGACAATCAGTTTCAAAATTCTAATTACTTTTCCTTCTTCACCTTTTGAATGATGTTTGCCATAAGTCGATGCCGGCATTTGTTCCTAATATTTCAATAGATGAAGATAACATCTGGTTGTATTTTACTGCTATTCCCAGTCACACGTGACCAACTAGACCCTCATCACRAACGAAAAATTGAGTTTGGGTGGACGTCAATCAAAAGATGTTTTGAGTTTCTTCAAGATCAGATAATTCAATACCGATAACTTTGCAGTTAAGCGTTTCAAATTCGGTGTCGGAATGACCTTAGACATGTTTAAGAAACCTTTTGATTGACGTCCACCAAAACTCAATTTTTCGTTTGTGATTTAGTTTTCAGTTGGTCGCGTGTAACTGAGAATCGGAGTAATGAAGATAGATTATATTCAAGTATATTTAGACCATTTCAAATAATCCGCTAATTCGTTATTTATCGTTTATGTTTTGTTATTATCATAAGGTTGCAAGATAACGTGTGGAGAATGCGATTTTAGGAATAATATTAAAATGTGAAAGCCATATAATCATATAATCCTATCGGACCGATAAACCCACATAAAGTGTCCTTGAAGTCTGATCATATGAGACTTGGTAGCTCAAAGGTTAGAGCATGGCAAGGGAATTGCCACGACACGGGTTCAAATCCCGTTCAAATTCTCGTTCATTTTCTGAGTCTATCAATTTGCAGCTACTAAGTTCAGTGCTTGATATACTGCGAGGATCAGCTCAATTTGATACATGACAACCGCAGTACAAATATATAATCTATATATATATTCTCATATACATATAGTCATTATACTATAGATATTGCCGTTCTTCTCTCTCTTAGTTTAGAAGAGTGTTCATGACAATTATTATGTTTACGATATTCGTTTGCTTGGAAACGACGTCTAATGATGATGACGGAGGTTGCCGTCTGATCATTGTCATAGCTAGGAACTTGATTTAAGCAGTTGTGTTGTATGGCTTTGAAAAAGCCATGAAGTTGTTTCATCTTTCAGAAGAAAAAAAATTTAAAAAATAATTCGCGACCAAAGACAGCGTTGTTCRGTGGTTTAGGCTTCATTGTCTTTCTCATAGGAAGAAAGAAGTAATAAAGAATGAAACATTGAATAAAAGAAAGAAAGAAAAAAAAAGAAATTGAAAAAGCTGTAAATATACGGAGACAGTAAAAAAAAAAAAAAAAAAAAAAAAAAAAAAAAGGAATAACGAAGAAAGAAAAGCAAACAAATAAAAAAAAGCTATGACAAAGAGAAGAAATGAAGAAAACGAGATTCAAAATAATCATTACAAAAGCATAATAACTGGATCGAAATAGCATAATTTCTAAGCCGATAAACAAATTTTGATATTTTCCAGTCTGTTGTTATCAGTGTTTTCTGTTTCCTAGTAACCATATGATATTCCATTAAGGGTTTCTCATTTATATATATATTCTACTCATTATCATCTCGTTTTCAATAGAAATAATGGAACCTACGATTTTCATTTGACCGTATTAGCCAGTTGTTCAAACGAGATAAACAGGTGTAATTCTATTGCGCCTGCGTCCTAGCCAACACGTCGAAGTGTTGATCGTAAATTATCTATTGGGAAATTTTCCATATTTTAATAAGACTTCAAGGCAACGGAAATAGAAATAGAAGCATCTCTCTTGTGACTAAACAAAGAGTTTGCTTCGTGTCACTTGAAAAACTGGAAGCTTTGACGACAGTTGTGTAAACGCTTTGGAATAACCTTGTAGTTATTGGAAAAGCCTGCAGCAGCGAGTCTCTTGGAAGCCTATCTAACCCTACTCCTAGCTAAGATTATTGTAGATACAGTTTAAATCTAAAGAACTTTGACAGGATATTATCGTTCAAAGGTAAGATATTTATGTCATATCTACGATAGAAAAACATATTCTTGATTGACTCTCTTGTTTGGCGTCTTCGCGCAGAAAAACCAAGTGATATATTTGTTTATTGTCGACAGGATGTTCAGCTATTATCGGTGATTTTGAATTCATTCTTCAAACGAAAGAAAGCCGTTTCTAACTTAAGTCGGCTTTCTTCTCACTTATTTTGAATAAATATTCCATTGCTCTTTATTTCTTTTTTAATTCGGGTCTCATTCATGTTAATAGCATTCAAAAATAAAAGTGTAAATACGACAAAGTGACTGAAGTTCCGTTCGACAATATATCATTTTTTTCTAGAATTGCCATGGAAACGTGAAGATTTGGTGTTTTATTCATACATAATGCTTTATTTGGTCGATTTAAAAGGACGGTCTTGTCAACTGAGCTCACAACCCACTTGTAACCTGTCTAGTTCTTAAGCCCATTACATGGTTCGGTTCAAACATCTTTCAATATTTGCCTGACATTATCGAGCGAGTCAGTGATCGTGTGGTTCGTTAAAGATCGGGAATCCATGAATTTCGTGAAGAGAAATGTGATTTTGGGAATTATTCGAAGGTTCTTTATGAATGCATAAGAATACCGAGACATTAGTGAGTCTGTGATTCCAGATCCCAGCGATAAATAGGTTTGATGAGATCTGTGATTTTAATCAGGGAATTCTTCGATGTCTCTAAGTATTTGTTATGATAAGGCTGCATTAAGAATACCAAGCATTTTGGGAATATATTATTAATGGTATTATCTAGAGCGTTTAGTTTGCAGTTGGCGAAGTTCATCAATTAGGATGAAGCTCGTCTAGATAAACAGAACGCTATTTCCGTGAAAGGAAAAAAAGCTCGCACTGTCTTTTCGAAAAAGATGACAAATAAATAAAACAAATGCTTTTAATTCACAAAGAGTCGTTAGCTGTTCGTAAAATAAATAAAACTTAAATTAATGTAATTTACATTCATTTATGATTTTCGAGAATGACACGATCATTCCCTACCTGAATTACAAGCGTCTAAAATGAGAACGAAGGCATAAAAACTAAAGAAATAAAGGGTTATATATGTATATTTATCATATGATTATCCATAAAATACCTATATTTATTATATAATTACCTATGAAATATCTATTTTTCTCTATTTTCTCTATCTTCACACGTGAAAATAACACCATTGCGATGGCTATTCAAAAATACACGGAAAGAATTTCCTGAAAAAGGCAAAACATACTTCATTGATAATTATATAATAAACAGAATATTATATGGGCGCTTGGAGATACGCAATTTACCTTCTCGTGTTGAAAATCTCTCTTTTCAACACTCGAAGATAAATTTCGTATCTCCGCGCGCCCATGTAATATCCTCTATTTCTCCTTTTCGAAAAACTGATATTTTCACATGTGAAAATATCGTTACCATGTGTATTTAAGCTATTAGTTTATGAATAAAAACTTTTTATAATAGTAAGAAGCTTGTTAACTTAATTTTATGGATAATTATATAATAAACAGAATATTACATGGGCGCTTGGAGATACGAATTTTATCTTCTTCGCTGCGCTCACTCGTGAGAGATCTTTTCAACACTCGAAGATAAATTTCGTATCTCCGCTCGCCTATGTAATATCCTCTGTATATTATTATCTGTGAACTAGCATGCTATGCGTATTATACTAGAAGTTCGGAGTTTTTGACTGAGAAACTCAACAACGAACAAACAAACTTCAGCGTCAGTATGGCTATTAGCCATTCGGAGGATAGGGAAAACACTGGGTCGAGTTGACATCGGGTGGGGCTGTTTTAAGTGACAAATATTCAAAATATCGGCAATTTCGTCTGCTAATTAAACAGCCCAAAAATGCACTGCCATGCCAACTCGACTCAATCCTTTTCTTTCTTTCGTGACTTTTTTAGACTTCGCTAACCAATCTGTATAATTCTATGTCTTCCCTCTGAATGTATGCGCATGCGTGCTTACATAACCCAAAAAATTCTAATTTATCCATCTTTTTCCGATTGTTGGCATCGATCTCTTTAATCTAATCAGACCAAACAAGATATCTGAATTGGTGCAAAATTTCTTTAGCCTTTCAAATCATTATGTCAGAAGAAGAAAAAYCGCCTGTTAGTGACAGCGATAGAATAGAACATGACAGTACTAACGCCATTGGGTTTGTATCCGATCAGTGTATTATGTTGACAACAATGATTTACCTCTATACTCAATATTATTCATCATAGAAAAATCTTTTTACATTGGCTAAAACGGCTGTTATCAGAGGCCTTCTCAAATGACTTTAAACTTTTCAAAGCCTAATGAACTACGAACCTCATTAGTGTTTTAAAATCAACCCTTTGGTACAAAATATATATATATATATTTCATAGTCAGCCTCTTAAGTACTTCCTTTGCCCTCTGTTCCCTTGCCTACTCCGTGCCTTTATGATGCGAATAAATTGTCCTAATTGGGTCGTGACACTCTTGTTTATCCCAGACTTGAAACCACAATCAAATCACAAGAAGCAGAACTCAATACTTTACGAAGCAGTGGAGAAATAAATCATACTCAAGACTCAGCCCTCGACCCGTCTGCACAAACCCCTGAATCACCTCCTCCTCAAGGGTTAGTCAGGTCACCGTCCTCAGGTCGAGGCACGGCGTACACACTGCGAGAGACTGGGACCGATCCTGTCTTTGATTGGACCGAGAGACCAGAGACATTGTCACGTGCAACGAGTCCAATTCAACTAAACTCTACTTCGCGAGCAACCAGTCCTTGGAAACAATACACATCGTCCCGAGCAACGAGCCCTTTGCAGTCAAAAGATAACTTTGAGGGTCTATCTACTGATATGTCTGAGTTACATGAGACCCGGGACATGGACACAGAACCAGATGAAACAGTAAGCAAACTTAATGTTGATGTTGATGTTTTTGCTTTTGTGTTTGTGTTGTCGTTGTTGTTGGTGCTCAGTGTTAATAGGCGGTCATTGTTGTCAGTCTTGTTGTGGTTTCAGCTGTTGCTACTATTGGTATTTTTCCTTGTTGTTTATTGTAGTTGTTGATCTATATTGTCGCTTTTGTTTTTGTGTTGCTTATCTCTTGCTGTTGGTATGGTCATTGTTGGCGTTGTTGTTACTACTGCTGCTGTAGCGGATATTGTCATTGTTGCTGTTGATGTTCCTGCATTGCTGCTATCAACTGCTGTTRTTGTTTCTGCTACTACTGTTTTGTTTTAGTTACAACCTCCAATGTTGTTGACGTAAATCAGATATTTGATCTTTTAAAGGATAAAGCGGATGAGTACCAAGATGACTTCCAATCAGATATTGATACCGCAAATAGCAATGCAGAGAATGAAGAGCCTACGGATGAAATAGTCACCAAGAAGGAAAGTGGTTTTGAAGATACTGTAGATGAACATGAAGAGTAYGTTTGATTATCGAAAGAGCTATGATATTCAGGCGCGTTGCCAGGACTTTGGAAAAGTAACCTCCCATCTCAATTACCATTTTTTGATTGAATTTACGTAAAAAGAAGGAGAGAAAGAGGAATGTGATGCGGGAGGGGGTTCGTTTCAAACGATACATGGTGGCTGGCCTGATACTTATTTCAATAAAGTAAGGGATCTTAGAAGCCACAAAGCCCAGTAGACTAAGGATGTAACTATCCATAATCCATACCGGTCTCATTTTGTAAGGTTCTTCTCCATAACTTAGAAAACGCTATATGTTTTATTAATAAAAACGTTGAAAAATTTATATTACACATTTGTCCCTTCTCCATTACCTTATATTACTTAATGACGTGAGTGAAGACAAAAAATATTTAATTTCAGTATTGAAGAGGCAGGAACACCAAACAAAGATCGCCAGAAAGAAAACAAGCAAGAAAAACACACAAGCAAGGAAAAACCAAGTAACAGGTGAGTTACTTAGGATGTACAGTCCAGTAAGTATCACGTGATACTGCAACCTATTAGCCATTCCGAAGTTGAGGAAAAAGACTGGGTCGATTTTGCACTGTAATGCATTGTGGGACTGTAACTGGTGAGTTACTGAGGATGTATAGTCCAGAAGGTGTCACGTGATACTACAGACTATTAGCCATTCTGAAGT